GCATCAAAAGCCGTTTATGACGTAATAAAAAGGGGTTCGAAGTTTTCCCAGTTTTCCGAAACCGCATTACTGAATTATTGTTCGAGTAGGTATAAAACGTCCATACGGCACTAACCACGTTTTGAAGTCGATGATATCCCCATCAATTAGGTACTGCTTTGATGGAATATTTGAAGTTGAAGGGATGAACGTTATTACAAAGTTGATATTAGTGGTGTTTTATTCCATCGGAATGAGATACCAAATCATCAATCTGAGATATTTTCGATGATTAGTTATTAATAATCAAACGTGTGAAGAAGTCCATATTGCTCAAAGTGGGTAGTGTTTGAAGGAAGAGTAAATCTCAAAATCATCTCCACGACATTTAGTAGTTGAACATTGTTTTGTTACACAGCTAACCTCTAATGCTCTCAAGTCCTATTCATGTGCGTTCTTCAAAATTTTAGGAACTTATTGTTTTTTGCCTCATGAAAACCTCCTCAGGGTATCTTAGATGGTACAGGCCCCTCTTAGAATGAAAAAAACCTGTTTTGCATTTCAATAATAATTGATCATATTCACTATTTGATTTAATAAGATTTCACAACTTTGGAGTGTTCCTCATGACGTTATGAACCTTGGCTGATGATACGCTCGAAACATGACCCTTTCGTTTGTAACATAACTATGTTCAACTATTGAATGTCGTTGAGATGATTTTGAGATTAACTCATCCTTATTGATAATCATTTATGAGGAGCGAGAAATCTGTTTTATATAATATTTATCAATTCATATTGTTTTCAAAATGGTTTCAACACTACCCCAACCAGATCACTGGAGCTATTCAAGTATTGCCATTTCTATATCTCTCATTACTTTCTACTACTTTCTGCATTCACATTCATCTAGGAAAACTCACAATAGGTAAGTTAATGCATCAATCTCAACTCACATGTTCTTCTTTTATGAATATCTACATACCTTTTCATCCACAAATCCTTTTGGGTTTTCAACTACACAGATCCGGTATAACAATGAATAAACAACAACAACCTCCACACATGAAGCCAATTGACAGCCATATGCCCTAGATCACTTTTCGCCAACGTATCATAAGAAATATTCTATTGGGTCTCAACACCAACAAAGCATGTGGCTCCGACGGAATCTCACCGATTATTCTCAAGAAATGTGCTCTCGAACTAACACCTGTTTTCTGCAAGGTGGTCAACTACTCTTACAAATTGGGAATATTCTCGTCCAACTGAAGAATTGCAAGAGTCTTCCAAAAAAAGGCAAAAAGACCCTACCTAGCAACTACAGACCGATCGCACTGCTATCTATTATTTAAAAGAACATGGAGAAAGCTATCAACATCGAGCTCATGAAATACCTGGAAGATTCAGGTATTCTCAACGATAGGCGATATGACTTCCGTCATCAGAGATCAACTGGTAACCTGCTCGCTTACGTCTCACATATAAGGCAGCAATCTATTGAAGAATAGTGTGAAACCTTAGCCGTGGCACTTGATATTTCCAAGGCATTCGATCGAGTCTGGCACCACGGACTCCTCGCCAAGTTTCCATCTTATGGCTTGCCTCCCCAGCTATGTTCTCTGATAGATAGTTTTCTCTCAAACAGGTCTCTCCATGTAGTGGTCGACGGAGTTTCATCTGGCTCTCTCTTCATAAATGCTGGTGTTCCGCAAGGATCAATTCTAGCACCAACACTAATTCTACTCCATATCAACGATTTGTTGGAAGCAACTTCATGTCCAGTACTCAGTTTCGCGGATGATAGTACCCTCCATACCGCCTTCTCTTCCAGGGCTCCAATACCAGACAGGCAAATCAGAAACGAACGAGGAAGAAATGTTGACAACATAAATATTGACTTGGCAACAATTCTCGAATGGGGATCCAATAACTTGGTAGATTTCAATGCGAATAAAACACAAGCATGCCTTTTCTCTAGAAGAGCCGATCTCACTGTGCCCAACATAAGCTTGTCAGGAGTAACCATATCTTTGAAGACATCCATTTCGAAGCTTGGTATTACTATCAGTAATAACCTTTCTTGAGAAAATCACGTGAGATCAATTGCTAAAAGTGCATCCCAAAAACTTGGTTTTCTGCTTCGGACCAGGAGCTATTTCACTTCCAGTCAGCTGCTTATGATCTATAAGGCAGAGATCCGACCTGTCCTGGAATACTGTTTCCATATTTGGAGTGCAGCACCTGAACATACCCTAAAACTGTTGGATTCTGTCCAAAAGAGGGCAATTCGTCTCGTGGGTGATGCCTCGCTCACAAACTCACTATCTTCTCTGGAACACCGTAGAAAATTTGTCGATCTGGCTTTATTTTATAGATATTTTCATGGACGATGCTCTTCTGAAATATCAACAATTGTTCCTCCCTTGGCAGTCCCCGCGAGATTAACCCGTCGAGTTGAGGCTTCGCACTCCTTCGTGGTGACTTTGGAGACCTGCAGAACATCTCTCTCCAAAGACTCGTTCATCCAACGAACAGCGAGGCTCTGGAACACATTGCCAAGGGAGGTTATCCATAAGGCATATAACCTCCAGAAATTCAAGAAGATCACCAATTCCTACCTTATTTCCCTTGGTTCTCACGATGTTCTCTGAACATTACAGGATATCCCTTTTCGTGGGAACCAGAACTTGAAAAAAAATTCAATTTCAAGAAAATGGATTTGATTGACTGACGAATTCCATTTTTTCTGTGTAAGTATTCAGTGCAGTAACCCTACAACCGTAAATGTTTAGCGAATAAGAACAAAATACCCTACCTCCTCGTAAAATCCTGCGATGTCAGCGAGTTTAGAAACAAAACGTCATTTAATCCTTTCTCAGCCCTCAAATCGCTGTTTCAACAGGAAAATGAATTCAAATATTTACATTTCTCGGGATGTTTGGCAAGGCGTAAGTGGCCTGAGCCTTTAAACTTTATTTTTCATCGAGTAATTCTTGTTTGCTCGGTAGGCTTCGAGTGCTGTAATCTAGATGGTTCTGGAATATCGGAATATTGTGTGAAAGTAGAGAAAATAATTCATAGATTAATTTAGAGCCTCAAGGCAAGCAAGCACGCCCACGCAAACGAAATTATTATGATCGTAACATGAATCCGCATTCTGCACACAGGTTAGTATATAGGGTGTGACATTGAAATAATTGCAAATAATTCGAACAATGTGAAAGCTCGACGTGTACTATCGAATGGTACTTCGGAGTTCGATCATTTGAATTGTTTTGAAGTAACGTAGCTGTAATGGACCTGACTTTGAGCACTATAGAAGGAAGAGTAATTTTCATTTATATTCTATATGATCAAGTTATCAGCTTTGTTTGATAACTGGAATTCAGGCTAACTTGGCGAAACATGAATTCCACCAGATTCAGACAAGCATTAAAAAAGTTAAACACTCAAAGAATTAGTCGGTAGTTCATACCAAAAGTTCAGTGAAATAGTCGCCAGCCAATAGTGTAACTAATTTCACTACAAAATTGTATCATACCATACCTACCATAAGTATATCACACTATACCTACTGAACTGCGTGACTGCATGGAATCAATACAGGGAGAGATTCATCACTTGCATTTTTGTGATATTGAGCTAATAACGATGTACAAGGTAATTTGGGATTCCAAAAAACTTGGAATTCAGTTATGCATATTGTGATTTCTACTTTGGATGCTCTATATTATATTGTTGTAGAATGATTTATATCATTCCTGTTATCATTCTTGATCTATTGATGACATGTTAACAGAATAATTTGTCTAATATTGAAATCATGTCGTTTAATTCCTTTCTGAATGTCAGATCAGTGATCTAGTGTTGTAACCTCAATCCTTATGTATCGCATTTGCCTTCATTAGCTATTATGCATTGATAAAAGTGTTCGCCACACCATTCATTGTTGTCTGTGATATACAAAGTATATTTAGAAATATTGCTCTCGCATGCGAACATTTGTTTTTCATCCTATGTACTGACACATCAGGAAATTTTAGTATTTAGTAGGTCCTCCACTTACATGCAGGAGAGAACGACATCTTGATGGCATGCTCTTTACTAACCTTTGTATAAATTGCACATAAATTGGCGTGGCATTCTCTATCCCACTCTTCCTGAATCATTCTCGAACCTATAATGATTTCAATATTCGAGGAAACATCATGTTGACATGTCATCAGGAGATCAAGAATAATAACAGGAATACGGAGCATTCACAGTTCAAATCACAATATGCATGACTGAATTTCACTTTTCTTTGTTATTTCGAATCACCCTGTAGATCGATATTCGCTCAATTCAAAGAAATTGAGGTGATGAATTCCTCCCTGAATCGATTTCATGTATAATTCCATAAACAGATCAGCTGAAATTGAGGACATTTAAAAAAAACGTTAATTTTCTATAAAAAAGATGTTGTATGTTAATGAAGTATGCTAGCCAAAAAATCTCGAAAATGTTTTGGCAAAATACATCAAGCATTCATGATATGCCCTAGGAAAAAATCCGAAAATTTATCCATATGATTGGGATAACTTTGAAAATATTAATTTTTGTAATGGGTCATTGTTTTCCCCTGTAAATCTGAAAACAGGAACTTCATGAGCAGAGTAGGTAGACCATCTTATTCTTGAACAAATATTACACAACATGGAACAAATCGTTCCAGAATCGGACCAGTACTTTTTATAATATTTGATTTCAAAGTGAGGTGGAATATTCAGGTGGACCACTCCATTTGTGATGCAGTTTATTTGACTCATGCTATTTTGTACTGGTATTATTATTTGATCAATGGTAGTGACTCGCGCCTATTTTACTTGAGGTTTTTGGTATTTACTACCGACTATTTCTCTCAGTGTAGAGCGATCAATTTGCCTAAATTTGTTTCTGGCCGGTTCTTTTTGCCGGTCAGTGTATATTTTCTTCCACAACACCATGGATAAATAGCAATTTTCTCAATTATCTTACCCCTGTACAACTTCCCCTCTTCTGTTGGGGTAGAGCTCTGGATGTTGCCCGTATCTCAGATAAACCACCAGCTGCTGCTCAGCCCGCGTATCGAAGCTGAAGTACGTCTGATCTGTGAAGTTCTCCGCGTGGAAGACGACCTTAACGAACGACGTTTCGGACATAAAAGTCTGAGGTTGTTCGCTCTCGCCGCAAAACATTCCCGGCTCCTTACGGTTCGAAACGTCGGTTTTGGCGTTGCCGTCCACTATCTGAAAAACAAGAGGAATCAAGGTTAATGACTGTGGTGGATATACAGGGTTGAATATTTTTGCATGAGCAAACTTGCTAGGGCAACATATGCCCAGAAACGCTCTGTTTCCGAAATACTGGAAGTCAGATTCTCAATTATGGCAGTTATACAGGGTGAAATAGTTCTATATGAACACAACTGCTTAGTCAACCACTTTGGTCAGTTCAAGAATAAAACTTCCTAGCAACATATGCTCGAAAATGCTCCGTATCTGTGATACTAGATACTAGAGCGAGGAATTCGGATAAGTTTTGTTCCATTTAGAGGTTGTGACGGTGACTGGTATACAGGGTGAATCTATTGGAATTTCTCGAAAATAAAAGTTCTTGTGAACATTTGTTAAAATATGCTCCGAGATACAGGATGTTAGATCATAACCTCGACAGATATACCGGGTAGATTAAATCTATATGATCCAACTTGCTGGAGCACTAATTTGGGTCATTTCAAGAAAAGAAGCTCATCTGCGAAGCTGTGTACTGGACATGAAGTTGCTTCCAACAAATCGTTGATATGGAGGAGAAATATTGTTGGTGCTGGAATTGATCCTTGCGGAACACCAGCATTCATTATAAGAGAGTCAGATGAAACTCCGTCGACCACTACATGAGGAGAACTGTTTGAGAGAAAACTAGCTAGCAGAGAACATAGCTGGGGAGGCAAGCCATAAGATGGAAGCTTGGCGAGGAGTCCGTGGTGCCAGAGTTGATCGAATGCCTTGGAGATATCAAGTGCCACGGCCAAGGTTTCACCATATTCTTCGATAGATTGCTGCCATTTATGTGAGACGTAAGCGAGCAGATCACCAGTTGATCTCTGATGACGGAAGCCATATTGCCTCTCGTTGATAGTACCTGAATGTTCCAGGTATTTCATGAGTAGTTGCTAGGTTGGGTCTTTTTGCCTTTTTTAGGAACTGGTTGTACTCTTGCAATTTTCTAGTTGGACGGGAATATTCCCAATTTGTAAGAGTAGTTGAACAACTTGCAGAGAACAGGTGTTAGTTCGGGAGCACATTTCTTGAGAACAATCGGTGGGAACGCGTTACAGCTCATTAATAAAAAAAATTATGCATTCATGTCATTTTACTACTATATTTCAGTAATATGCATATTTGAAAAGAATCACCAATTTGAGTTATTGTCTATTATGAACTCTTAAATGATTTTGGCTGCTTATTGTTCACGAATTATACATGGTTGAAGATATGAATATGGCATGAAAACATTAAACATTATACCTTGTTTCTTTGCATAAGACAAGATAAACCATCCATGTCGTCTGTGTTTTCAGAGAACATAAGCCCCAGCTTATATCGCGTTGAGGTTTGTTATTCATACACATAACTTCCAGAAGCATCCCTTCTACACACATACATGATCATCCACCCATTTCCTTCACGCAAATCCAGCAAAAAAACTTTCTACGCGATACTGTCAACCCAGAGGAATCATCTAATTCGCTGTAAAATACGACGAAATGAAAAAATAAATAGGGAAGGATCAACAACAAATTATTCATGCCACATATATTTCGAGACTGTCCCTTTGTATTGGAAATGCCCCGGTCTCTTTTCAACTGATATATTGTCTGCTCATTGGCCTTCTTTTTTTATCGCCAGAAGGCTAACGCATTTCGAAGTAAAGTAGAAAGTCTTGTTTGGATAGAACCGTGTATTTTTCACGACACTTTCACGAGTGATGTCAGGAATAAAAGTCCGGTGGATATGGGCTGTCATCTCTGAAAAAGCCCATTTGCCACTTCCTTTTTTGTTATATTGCATCAGTGTGCATTTATAACACGACGCTAGAGTAGTGAGACAGTTGAGTAACAGTGAATTATTGAAAACTAAAGTTTGATCGCCTCTGGTGGCGAATTAGGAAGCTGTTCGATTATGATACTAAAATATCGTTTTCCACTCGCCGATTTACAGAGCGCACTAGCAGAGAGCAAGTAAAAGTGGCACTGGTTCGGTTCTTCCATAAAATGCGGTTCCAGCACAAAGCAGTGAAATAGAAAAAAATAGTTGGTGCGACCTTCTTGTCATCAGAAAAGTCGGAATAATCGTTTTGTCAATCAAGAAATTGAATTATTGAAAGAACATTGGTTCCGTTGGTCCACATGAAATGGATTCATCTGTGAACACTGCCAGAAATCAGCCAGAAACAGTCTTATATATAATATAAATGTTCATTGTCAATGATGTTCAATTGAATGATTCGACAATAGTGATGTAGCATTGAAGTGTCGTTCACGAGGTTAGTATTTTTCATCATTACTGAATCAACATTCAAATATGTTCAATACCTGTACATCTGAATAGAGCTTTCTTTAACGTTTAGATAATTTTGAATCTTCCGTAAACGCTTCCGTTCACACTACCGGTCATTTGAGGGTAAACGTGACAACACGGTATCATGAATTGTGGGCGGTGCCTTGTCAGTTATCAGCATTCAGCACATTGTTGCCAAGTCTTCAACATCAACATGATATTTTGTTATGGAGTATAAGAGATATTAAGACATACTGGTTGCTCGAAAGAGTAAAGCATGAACTATTATATCATGGCTTTTCAATTGTAATTCAGGAAGTGTAACTTGTAATTCAGATTAGTAAAATGTAAGTCAGAAAGTGTAATTTGTAATTCAGAATAATTGATTGTAATTCAGAAAGCGTCAATTGTAATTCAGATTAGTCAATTGTAATTCAGAATGCATAACATGTAATTCAGAAAGTTCAACTTGTAATTCAGAATAGTCGATTATTGTAATTCATAAAGCGTAATTCGTAATTCAGAAAGCATCACTTGTAATTCATACTATGAGCTTGAATAAGGGTAGGGAATAGAAATCAACGAATGGTTCATTGTGTGGTGAGCATCAATATATTATATTTATCGACAAACGGGCATATCTTGAAATGCCAGAGCTGCAGCAAAGTGAATGTTGGTGTGTTGTGCAGCCCTAGCACAATCACCACCAACAATAGGCAATTTCACAATGATTGGAAATAGATCTTTTTATATGGCGAACGGTCTCATACATGACTCAGTATATCAAATAGCACTTCCTCTCATCTATTGATTCCTTTACAACCGTTTAATTAATACTTCAAAAGTGCTACAAACCGAGAGAGTTTCAAACGAATCGTGGAAAAAAAAATCAAAAAATCATGGTGAATTTCTCTATTGTATCTTTGGCCTGGTCAATATTTTGTTCAACATATAGATAAACAACTCGTTGTTATCCAACACCCGGACCTCAAGAAGAATGGATGCATACTGGTTGTTACTAGTTTCTGAATCATAAGTAATACTTTCTGAATTACAAGTTATGCTTTCTGAATAACAATTGACGATTTCTGAATTACATTTCACTATTCTGAATAACGAGTTATACTTTCTGAATTACATTCCACTAATCTGAATTACATATAACGCTTTCTGAATTACAACTAACTAATCTGAATTTCAAGTTATACTTTCTGAATCACAATTAGCTATTCTGAATTACAACTTATACTTTCTGAATTACATCTTATACTTTCTGAATTATAATTGGAAAAGGTGTAGTGTTCATGTCATTTTGATATTCAAAATCTAAACGAAAGACTGGAACGAAATCATTTCAACGTGGAATCAACAAACACTTTTTGAGTTAGATATGTTTAGGCAACATTTTGAATCAAGCGAATAACCCTTATTCATCGGAAACTTTCAGCAATGTTTAACGTTGCAGCAGTATTAGGTATCGATTGATCTAATGATGTTCAATTTCACCATGTTTGTTGATGCCAGAATTTGAACAGTGCGGAGTTCTGAATATTGATGAGCTCCCAAATCACACGGAAACTCGCAAACAATGAAGGTATAAGTGACTAGTAGGATCAATTTTCCATCCATTGCCTGTGAAGTTCATCGTATGCCACCATTATGAATACAGGGGATTCCTGAGTTGATACTCTTCCAAACTGGGTATAGAACTCGTTAAAATAAACAACTACTTCAAATAATATTTGAAAAAAAAACTGAAAAATCAAAAGTAACATTATTATAAAACTTCTCCAATACGGTCCTGTCTAACATGAGTAAAGTGGATCGAAATAATTTCACTGGTAGCATTTAATTAACTATATGAGATATCCAGATATGTGATTTTATGGGAAAATATGAACCAGAAATTCTCGGTCAGCAAGGATTTTTGGAAAACTGCAAGAATAAACTACCCCTCTGAAGAGGTGGATAGAAATAATTCCACTGGTGGCATCTATATATCTATATGAGATATTCAAATATGCAATTGCAAAAGAAAATTCTAATCAGAGATGCAAGGTCTCCATACTTCAATTTTGGTCAGCAAATTGTACACCCCCAAAATCACCACTCAAAGCTTTCTCCACTCGCTTTGATTAACATGCTACTACCCTAGTTATGTATCCTTACCAATGCAATCAATAAGAAATTCCAGGATCAGACCTGTCACTGGCACATTCACCCAATACGAAACCTTCGTTTGGCTCCACTCCATGCCATCAACTTCAACAAATTGTTTCCAGCTCAAAGCTAGACCATAACCGATACATCTAGCAAAGGTATATGTCAGTGTCGACCAGGGATATTTGTAGAACACATTAAACAAATCGTTGGCATTCAAGCTTGAATGCAATAACCAATTCATTAGAACTGTAATTCATGGAACTGTTAAGGGTCAGACCGATAGCTTTTCAGTGCCGGAGTATTGAATGGGCTTATATCACAAAACATTTTTATTTCATAATTCGATAGAACTCACCCAAACTAGCTCACCACCGCAAACCGTTTCTTGCTGTGAACTCCCTACGTTTTATAAACAAAATGCTTGAAATCCGCGATTTTTCGGACCTCTGAAAACGAGGGGATGATGTGACGTCAAAACCCTAATACTGTAACAAGACCCGTCCAGACAGAGATGAATGATACATGATTTCT